TGACACCAATAATGATTTTTGGTTCGATGAGTTTGGTATTTGGCACAGGGTTGTAAAGTATTTCAATCTTTTTCAGGTTGATAGTCAAGTCAGAGAACATAAAAAAGTCTGAGAAATTGTTCAGCATCAACTGTAGATCAACTGCACCAAAACAGCAGTCATCAGCAACGAAAGTTTCTTGAATAATTTTTGGAAGTATTTGATCCATGTGTCCAAGTTGAAAAGTCAAAGAGACAGATGTCCAATTTAATACCTAATGTACATTTCTTCCTTCCTCACTATTCAGCCATAACTGAAGAAGCTTCTTGGATGGCAGGTGAAACATTTTCAAAACAAAAAAACCAAGGAAGTTCAACTGCCTTTTGAAAAACACCTTTCAGGCAACCATGACCTCAGTGATTGAACATCTCCATAGACATTTCCTCCTTCAGACCCTGAACAACATGTGGCAACATACAAGCAAAGAACAGATTGAACAGGACTGAGGTTAGCATGCATGCCTTTTTAGCTCTACTGGAAATAGCAAATGCAGCTGATTAATCACCAGTGTAAAGAACCTGTCCAGTCATTCTGTCATGGAACAGCTGAATCAACTTCATACATTTCCTTGGGCATCTATAATGTCTACCTTGTTTACGTGTCAAATGCATTTGTCAATTCAATGAAGACATAGTAAAGAGGCTTGTTCTGCTCAATACAGTACTCCTGGATTTGGTTGTACTCTGTTTTGGCCAAAAATCACATTATATGTCTGGGAATTGCCTTTTTGAAACAGTGACAAGTTTGTGGAGGAGAATGTGGGCAAAGATCTTGTCTGTTCTGTAGTGTCCAGTCTAATTTGCTTCTCTTATTTTTACAGACAACCATAATGAGGGCATTGTGCAAGCCATCAGGCATCCTCTGTTGATCAAATGCCTTCCAATTTGTCTTGGAATACTTGCAAGCATTTGAATCTACATATATTTAGAAAGACAATAAACTGACTTTATGGCACTGAAGAACTCTCTGGTGCCATGCATATCTGCACAGCATCCTATCTACTCATCCTTCCTGTGCCACCACTTTTCCTATATTTCTCTCAGTTCTGTTTGTACTTTGGACTGCAGGTAATTAAAGTGCTTTTTCTTTGAGACAGATGATGGGGTCATTCTGCCAGTCCCCATAGCCTTGTTTTGCAGGGTTGCTGAAATGGTTTCATGGTTTTAATTAAATCAGTCTCAACACCAGAAGTTTTTTATTAAGTACATCTTGGAAGGATTGGACTTGGACTGGTCTTCTGACTTGCAAATACAAGAATGCCCTTCTCACAGACCATGGTTGCTTACAATATAAAGGAATTATGTGTAGGTTGAGCCATGTGATTTGTCCAGCAATCAGCACTTCAAATGGCACAGGTAATGGTTACATCTTTAAGATTGTGCTGATGTACTACAGCATAGCCAAACAGGCACCAATATTTAAATCTGGGATGGATCTTACTTGTCTACAAGTCTGAACATTGTGTTAGTGATGCACCGGTTGTGCTCAGCACATTTGTTCAGAAATAGAAGGCTGTTGCTATTTAGATATCCCATCCCATCACTCCCAAGGCCGTCACCCCAGTTGTTCCTTCTATTCCCATCATAGTGATGAAATCACTCAGATTTATAAGTCTGACTCTGGCAAGGGTTCTTTAAATGATTTGGTCCATAGCCTTATTTTAAAAAATCTTCCTTGTCTTTGTCTGGATTCTGAGAGTTGATGCTTAGGTGCTGACAATGATGATATACTGATAATGATGATATACTGGGATATACTGCAAGAAAGAGGAACTTCATAATGTGTTCATTTTTCTAGTGAGTAGAATAGAGATGTTCTTCAGCAAAGATTGCAAAACCTATTCTGTGAGTCCTACTGTCAGACTATGGTTCCCCTTTCCAAAATAGTATGTATCAACTCATTGCTTCTTATAATGAATTCTCATTTACAAACCTGGTCTCCCAGTTGTGAGTGCACAATATAATGGCAAAGTTCAGCTGCTATATGTGCTATTTGTCTTTCAGGCTGGGCCACTTTCTTTCTACCCAGCAAGGTGTGGACATTCCAGGCTGTGAAAAAGAATTTAGCCAGGACATCATCATGCACTTTGGAATTGACAAATGTGCAACAATCAAATCAGGCAAAATCATAGAAGATGATGGAATAGAACTTGAAAATGAAGAAATGATAAAGGCAACGAAACCAGAAACAGGCTACAAGTACTTAGGGATTTTAGAAGCCTCTGATTTAATGCATAATAAAGTCAAGGAATCAACTTCAGCTAAGTACGTTGGAAGAATTTGCAAGATTTTAAAGTCCAAACTGAGTGGTGGAAACACCATAAAAGCAATAAATACCTGGGTTACACCTGTGATTTGATACTCTGCAGGAATAATTGACTGGACCCAGATGGAGCTGGACAATTTGAACAGAAAAACAAGGAATCATGCCTTGCATTCTAAAAGTGATGGTGATTGATTATATTTACCATGAGCAGAGGGTGGTCAAGATCTCCTACAAGTAAAGCAGACTGTAGAAGAAGAAAGACACAATTTGAATGACTACATCCAGAAAAGTGAAGAGTCAATGATTAAGGAAGTACATAAAGGAGGTCTTTTGAAGACCCACCAAGTCAAAACTGAATACAAAAAAGAAGTAATTGACAAGCAAATTGAAAATTTGAAAAGCAAAGCTATGTATGGCCAATACCTGAAAAGTACTGAAGGCAAAGCTGACCAAAAGCTTACTTGGAATTGGCTAAAATCAGGAATACTGAAAAAAAGAAACTGAAGGCTTTATTTTGGCTGCTCAAAAACAAACTTTAGCCACAAATTGCATGAAGGCAAAGATTCAGCATGTCATCACTAACAGCAAATACCACCTCTATAATGAGAAAGATGAAACAGTTGACCATTTAATCAGTGGGTGAAGCAAAATTTCACAAACTGTCTACCTAGAACACCACAATGGAGTTGCTCAAATCATTCACTGGAAACTATGCCAAAAGTCTGGATTTGAATATAGTAACAACTACTGGGAACATCAGGTTGAGAAGGTTCTGGAGAATGAAAAAGTCAAGATCTTGTGGGACTTCAGAATTCAGACTGACAGGCACTTGGCCCACAACACACCTGACATAGCAATAGTTGAAAATGGTTGAAAATTGACATTGCAAAAATAGTTGAAAATTGACATTGCAATACCTGATGATGCACGAACTGAAGCAAGAAAAAATCATAAAGTATCAGGACTTACAAACTGAAGTTGAGCGACTTTGAAAAAAGAAATTGTGTGTTATCCCAATTGTAATTGGAGCCCTTGGAGCAATACCTAAAGAGCTACTTTGCTATTTGGAAATTCTGAATTTATCAGACTTGAATACCCTGATTCTATTAAAAAAATCACCCTACTTGGAACAGCTTATATCCTCCGATGCTACCTTAACAGTTCCTAGGTCCTTGGTTAGGACTCGAGCTGTTGAGCTACCAACCAGCCCCAAAGACTATAAATCTCACCAAAGATTAACAACAACAACAATAATAATGAAGATACAAAAATTCACTGACAATACAAACTGCCAACTTTGCAACAACAAAATTGAAACTGTTTCACATTTAATATGTGAATGCAGCAAAATTGCACAAACTGATTGCAAAGCTAGACACAATCGAGTTGCTAAATTAATCCATTGGTCATTATGTAAAAAATACGACTTACCTATATCCGAAAAGTCATGGGAACATAAAGTGTAAAATGTTATCAAAAATGAGAAAGTAAAGATCTTGTGGAACTTTCAAATACCGACAGATTGTCATTTGGAACACAACATGACAGATATCATGGTTGTCAAAAACCCAAATGTACAATTTATTGATATCACGGTACCAGGAGACATCAGCGTTGAAAAAAAGAACTGGAAAAAAATCATGAAATATCACTACCTGGCCATCGAAACGTGATTATGGATGAAACATGTAACAGTGATACCCATCGTCATCGGGACACTTGGTACCATGTCCAATAATTTTATAAAATACAGCAAGAAATTGCAGCTTCCTATAATAATACCAGTGGAACTGCAAAAAACTTTGCTACTCAGAACATCATACATTTTAAGGTACTTGGTTGATATCTAGCATGCTGGCAGAAACCCATATAAACCATTAGCACTAGTCAATGGTATTTGTGATGCAATTTTTAATGTTCAGTTGACTGAATTTCATGTTTAATGAGTAAAGTATATAATAATCATAATAATAATAATTATCCTGGCCCTTTTTTTTGTAAGTGGTCTTACATTAACCATTATAACTGTTTCTTTAATACTGGTTAAGGGAGAGATATTCTCTATTAGAGTGGATGATAAACACTGGCTCATTGAAGGAACAGTCCTTTCTCTGCAAAGCAGCCAATGACCTGTTGATGTTAGTTTGCAGGAGACTGAAATGTTCTCATCTAAATGGATAGGAGTACATGAGCCACATCATAGGATAGAAAAATACTCTGGGTAAGAGTACTTTTGAAAAGGAGCAGAAAAACCTGTTCCACTTTATGCAGAACTACCTTTAGGAGTAAATTACAAGCTGTTTTTGCTCTCCAGAAACATTTGCCAGGCAATGTTGATTATGGAGCACGAAGTAGGTCTAGATCTGACCTTAGGGCAGGCAATAGTTGCTTTTATCCAATGATGCTTGCTGTTGGAATGTCTGCTAGGATGACACAGCTATATAACAGGTGGCTCAGTAAAGTATTGAAATCAATGAATATTATATCCCATGTAAGTCAAGAAAATAGTGCAAAAACATAAATTACATTTTGGTTGTTGAAACTGTAACTACTGATTAAACTTTGATTGCAAAGGAAACTGATTGAACTGATTGAAAAGCAGCATTAGTTCACTAGGAAAATGTGTTCTATGAAAATTTTCATTGTTATTAAAATAGAACTTTCAGAAAGATTGTTCCAATTACTAGCAATATTTTGGATAATGCAATAGGAATGAAGTGTGCCTCCATTTTATTTTATGTTTTAAATGAAAATGCTGGCTATAGCATGGAAAATGGGTGTTGGTATAATTACCTGAGAACACTCTTTCTATCTACGCTGCAAGAGTCCAGGAATGGGTTAAGCTCCTCCTTCTGACATCATAGAGCTGAGTCTGCCACCATAAAAAGACAGCCTCTGGCTGGCCCGCCCACCTTTTAGGCGACAATACTTGATAGACGTAATGTGTCTCTGGAAGATAAAGAAGAAACCACCCTCTGACCAAATGATGCCTGGGCTGAACCAAATGAATCCAGGCGATAATGCCGTATAAACGGCGAAGCCAAAGCCCAGGTAGCCACTCTGCAGATCTCTTCCAGCGATGCCCGAGTATACCAGGAGGCCGAATTAGCTGCACTCCTAGTGGAGAGGGCCATGACGTGTCTGGGAACTGGCATGGATAAAGTTTGGTACACCTTGGATATACAAGCTCTAATCTTGATCGACTACCAATAGTCAATGCAGTCACCTTGTTCCCCAGGGTAGAGGGATGGAATGACACAAACATGGCTTCAGATTTTCGAAAGGCTGCCATCTGTTTGATGTAAATCCGAAGGGCCTGCCTCACATCCAACGTATGCCACCTGTGTTCCAGTTCGTGTTGTGGTCTGGGGCAAAAGTCTGGCAGCACAGCATCTTGAGCCCAGTGAAACCATGTGTTTATCTTAGGGACAAACATGGGGTCTAACCTAAGAACTACCCTGTTCTGATGGAAAAGACACAGGTTCTGTTGTACCGAGAGTGCCGCTAATTCGGACACTCTCCTGGCCGAGGTAAAGGCCATTAAAAATTGTACCCTGAGGAACAGCATTTGTAGAGATACAGATCAGAGGGGCTCAAAAAGCTCATTAGACCTTGTAACACTTTAGGTAAATCACAAATGGGAAACCTATGTGCAACAGGGGTCGAAGGTTAGATGCCCCCATTAGGAACCTGTGCACCGAAGGGTGATGGGACCAAGAAGCATATCCCTCTCAGGATAGAACAGGAGAGAGAGCCACTACCTGGTGGCGAAACGTGTTAAGGGCAAGTCCCTTGCCTAAGCCCTCTTGTAGGAACATTAGAACCTCTGCCACAGAAGCAGAAGAGGGGTCTCTGGCCAAAGGCATGCACCAGGAGCAGAATACCCTCCAAGTCGCATCGTAGATGTGCATGGTAGATGGCTTTCAGGAAGCTTGAATGGTGTTGATTATCCTTTCAGGAAACTTGGAAGCCCTCATAGATTGCTGCTCAAGCACCAAACGGTTAAGCTGAACCACCGGGGGTTCGGGTGAAGTAATGCCCCCGATGCAGGGAGATCTTGGATGCCAGGATCTTCCATGGCTGGACCACAGACAGGTTTCACCAGATTTGCGAACTGGAGTCTCTTGGGCCACTGGGGCACCAGGAGAATTAGCTCCGCCTTTTCCTCCAAAGGAAACTTCCTCCAAGTTCCAAATTATAGCCAGAATAATGGGAAGAGGAGGAAAGGTGTTGAGGAGACCCGGAGGCCAGGCACTCCAAAGCACATTGGTCCCCTCTGCTCCCTGGGTCGGAAACCTGGTAAAGTACCTGCCCAACTGAGCATTTTGGGGGGTGGCAAAGAGGTCTATGGTTGGAGGATCAAATCGGCATAACAAGTTCTGAAACAGAGAGGGGTGTAGACTCCACTCTGCCTGGTCTACTGTGGATCAACTCAACCAGTTGGCCTGGACATTGTTGACTCCCGATATATGGTCCGGAGGTGTCTCTCCGCCCATCTCTCCAGGCGCTCTGCCTCTCTCATCAAGGCCCTGGAACTGGTCCTCCCTTGCTGTTGACATGGGCCTTTGGGGCTAAAACGTGCATCATAACTAACACATAGTGACCAGCCACCCTGTTCCGGAAGTGTTTCAGGGCTAAGAAAATAGCCCCGAGTTCCAGCGAAATTTATGGGGCATGTCTTTTCTGACTGTGACCAACATCTCTAGGATATTTCCCTCTCCAGATGGGCTCCCCAGCCATGGAGACTGGCATCTGTGGTGAGCCGGATCCTGTCCGGCTCCTTGAAGGGAAGACCCCTCTCTAGAGCCTGGGACTGCACCATGTGAAGGAGCAAAGGACCTGAGAAGGAACCTGTACCTTTATGATAGAATGGCTGGTTCCTACCCGTTGAAAGGAGAGCAAGAACCATTCGAGTTCCTGAGCATGGAGATAGGCTGTTGGGTATATGCATACACCAACCAGGTTTGGGTTGAATAAATATG